AGGCTTCAAGCTTAATGATCTATAAGTGAGGCTTTCTGGGATGCACTTAGTGTGTTTCCCCAAACATGGTGTGTTCCTACTTTTCACTATATACAGGTATGCTATCACCTCCCCCATACACGTATACACACTTCTTAAACTTAGATGTTCCCCAGTTTTTCCTGTGGAGCTTGCTAAAAATGCAGTGTTATCCATAGAAATTCCTATTTCATTGATCTGGGCTGGGGCATTTGTAACAAGCACCCTAGACCATCCCAGCATACTGAATCCATAGTCCATCCTGTCTGTGAGACTATGGCAGCCCTTGTGGTCTAAGCGGCAAAATTTTTGCTTAGCCCTTTTTGTTGTCGTTGTTGCTGTTGTTTGTTTTTTTTTTTGTTGTTGTTGTTTTGAGACGGAGTTTCGCTGTTGTTGCCCCGGCTAGAGTGCAATGGCGCGATCTCGGCTCACTGCAACCTCCGCCTCCCGGGTTCAAGCGACTCACTGCCTCCGCCTCCTGAGTAGCTGGGATTACAGGCACGCGCCACCGTGCCCGGCTAATTTTTGTATTTTTAGTAGAGATGGGGTTTCACCCTGTTGGTCAGGCTGGTCTCAAATTCCTGACCTCATGATCCACCCGCCTCAGCCTCCCAAAGTGCTGGGATTACAGGCGTGAGCCACTGTGCCTGGCCTTGTTTTTGATTTTTGAGACGGAGTCTGTTGCCCAGGCTGGAGTGCAGTGGCCAGTTCAACCTCCACCTCCTGGGTTCACGCAATTCTCGTGCCTCAGCCTCCCAAGTAGTTGGGACTACAGGCATGTGCCACCACCGCCGGCTAATTTGTGTGTGTGTGTGTGTGTATTTTTAGTAGAGATGGGGTTTCCCCATGTTGGTCAGGCTGGTCTTGAACTCCTGACCTCAAATGATCCACCACCCACCTCGATCTCCCAAAGTGCTGGGATTACAGGCATGAGCCAGCTTAGACTCTTTAAATATTAAGTGCATGTACTTGAAAGTAGGTACAAATGAAGATAAAAGAATAGGCTCCAGGAAAATTTCAGTCAAGTCTTCATAATCTATAAAATTGCCTATTTAATAAATACATGTTGTAAACATTTTTAATGTTCTATAATTACTTTTATTAATGTCATGTTACCTCTTTAATTGAGGTACTTCGCTCATAAAGCTGAAGCATATAAATACAATCTATATTTAGTACAGACCAAAATTCATGTCCTTTGCTTTTAAAAGGTAGAACTAAGAAAAGAAAAGAAATAGCAGAATTCCGGCACGTATTCTAAAGAATTATAAATGGATCTTGCAGCACTTAATTTCTGGGTTTTTTTTTTTTTCAGTACCTTTCTTTGATTTTTTGTCTCCTCATTGGCACCATCCCAGGACACTGTTATCTTCTGCCAGATCAGACCTGTCTGGATCATCTTCCCCACCTAACTCAGGATGCTTCCTCCCTTCTACCTTTCCAGAAATCCCACCTTATTTTTCATACTTTTCTTGACTAACTGGTCATAAGATGATTTCCCTCAACTCCACCCTGTCTCAACATGCAACTCCCCATGAGTCAACCATCATAATTGTTTCTAATGTGTTTGTTCCATGGTGTGTGTTGAGTAACCGTTGTTGCCATTTGCCTGACTACATAGTGGTTACTGTTTATTTCTGTAATTCAGTGTTTTTTTTTCTTAAGTCTTGAAATACGATTTATTAACTGAAAGAGTTTCTTTTTATTTCTTAATTAAATTCAGTGAGAAGCTTACCATGAAATATTATTCTTAGGCTGGCATTCATAAAACACTGGAGTGTTTCATTTTCTCCTGATCTCAATCTGCCTTCCAAAGCTACTAATGACAGATGAGAGCAAGATCATAATTTTAGTTAGATGTGGTGGCTCATACCTGTAATCCCAGCACTTTGGGAGGCCAAGGCAGGAGGATCCCTTGAACTCAAGAGTTTGAGACCAGCCTGTCTCAAAAAAAAAAAAAAAAATTTTAAAGATTATAATTGTATATAGTCAAAGAAATGTGTTTCTTTTAAAAAGCAATATGTCAGAACTTTGTCTCATCTCTGGGCCTTTTCTTTATTATCTTAAACTCTAAACTATAAAATTAGCCTCTTCGACTATAGTTTTTGCAGGCCAGTCATTTTCTTTGCTCTAGAACTCTAGATAGCCTATATATTTCCATCTTCCTGTCTCTTTCATAAAGAATCTTGCCTTTAAAGGAAAGATGACTCCTTAAAACATTAGTGCTTGTAATATTCAATCACCTACATATATTAAAGAACGCCTGCCCTCTTGTGTCCAGAAAGACTGCTACAGTAAGGAGTGAATTAGCAAAATTGTCATTCCAGAAATACAGCATTCTACCCTACAGGGATTTTCTACCAGGGAGCTTTCTCAAGGCTGCCAAGTATGGTTGTACAGTTTGAGCACTGAAAAATGATCCCGGCCCAAGAGATGAATGAAATCCATTTTACACTCTGCCAAGCCATATATCCTTGCCCAGGTCACGTCTTTCTAGAGAGGTGACCATTAAAATTTCATTCAAGGGTACCTTTAAGCCTTGTACCACTTGGAGTGTGCAACTTTCTCTAATTTACACAAACCTCTTTATAGCTTAACGGCAGCCTTGTAGAGGCTCATTAAGGGTTAGTTGGACAGTCCTCTCATCGTGCAACTTTCCTACTCAAGGAATTTCAAGAAATTAAAATCAGATTGTTAGAGCTGAGTGACATCACTTAGTCCCAGGTTATCAGAGGAAAGAAATAAGGAACAGAGAGGCAGAATGAGAATTGTCAAATTCATTAGAGGCAAGCAGGGAACTAAAATTAGGCCCTCTGACTCCCAATCCATGTTCTTACCTCCAGCTTCAAGTGACCCCTTTCTTTGACCCCACCTTACTTATTCCAAACTAGGCTAGAATAGATGTGCAATAGCACGCATAGGGTGGTGGGGTGATTTGAGGTGGTATGTGGACAAATATTTTTTGCACGTTAGTAGAAATGTATTTGTTTCAATGTATTTCTTTGGGAAAAAACAAAAACATTTAAGTCCATAGTTTCTTAGACATTATGGTATGTGACAAGGGTAAGTATTTTAAGCTTGAAAAGAGAGTTAATTTGAAGAAAGATATTAAGTAGTGCATATGTTAATAGCTTGATTTAGCCATTGACAATGTATACATATATCAGAATGTCATTTTGTATACCAAAATATATGCAATATTTACTTGTCAGATATCAAAATATCATTTTGTATAACATAAATTTATATAATTTTTACTTGTCAAAAAATAAAAATATTAACTAAATGATAGTTTAGATCTCAGATATGGCAAAAATGATAAAAGTGGTAAAAAATAATGATAGAAATTTGAGACTATCTCAGTCCATTCTGACTACTATGACAAAACACCTCAGACTAGGTAATTTATAAACTATAGAAATTTTATAGCTGGGCGCGGTGGCTCACGCCTGTAATCCCAGCACTTTGGGAGGCCGAGACGGGCGGATCACGAGGTCAGGAGATCGAGACCATCCTGGCTAACACGGTGAAACCCCGTCTCTACTAAAAAATACAAAAAAAAAAAAACTAGCCGGGTGAGGTGGCGGGCGCCTGTAGTCCCAGCTACTCGGGAGGCTGAGGCAGGAGAATGGCGTGAACCCGGGAGGCGGAGCTTGCAGTGAGCTGAGATCCGGCCACTACACTCCAGCCTGGGCGACAGAGCGAGACTCCGTCTCAAAAAAAAAAAAAGAAAAAAAAAAAAATTTTATTGCTCACAGTTCTGGAGGCTGAGAAGCCCAAGATGAAGGGACTGGAAGACTCAGTGTCTAATGAGGGTCTGTTTCTCATAGACAGTGCCTTCTCTCTGTGACCTCACATAGTGGAAGGGGCTAGCTAGTTCTCTCTGGACTATTTTGTAAGGGCATTAATCCTCTTCGCCAGGATGCACCAAAGGAACTTATCACTCTGGCCCCTTCTAACTCTACCACTGGGGTCCTTTTCTGACTCTTCTTTAACACTGACAGTTGTTCCATTACTGTTACTGATGACAATATATCCTCTCTTTTTATTACAGCTGCGTCTGATATTCTGTCCTTTCCATACTCATCCCAGTGTAAACCACAAAATAGGTCTTCAGAAAAGACTGTGGCTTCACTGATTTTCCTGTGTTGCCTCTAACATTTATAAAAAAGCATTGACGAAGAGTGTCAATGACCGAGTTTCAAAACCGTCTTTACTTTTCTAAATGTAGATGTTTTTCCATGTATAAAAATTACATAGACTTAGCCACGTGTGGTGGCCCACACAAGGCGGGTGAATCACTTGAGGTCAGGAGTTTGAGACCAGCCTGGCCAACATGGTGAAACCCGGTCTCTACTAAAAATACAAAAATCAACCAGGCATGGTGGTGCACACCTGTAATCCCAGCTATCTGGAGGCTGAGGCACAAGAATCGCTTGAACCCAGGAGGTGAGGTTGCAGTGAGCTGAGATCATGCCACCACACTCCAGCCTGGGTGACAGAGTCAGACTGTGTCTCAAAAAAAAAAAAAAAAAAAAAAAAAAGTAGACTTACACAAAATTTGAAAAATATGGGAAAGTAGAAGAGAAGAAAAAAAGGCATTTATATCCTACTAATGAACGCTGCTAATCCCCTCCCTAATTAAAAGTTCTCCTGCGAAATCCTAGCAAGTTGGGATCTACATCTGTTTATCATTCTGGAAACTTGCAATGTTCTGGATTTAACATTTTTTTAATTTCAAATCATAAAATAAATTTTCAATGGAGAATCCAGGGGTGGAGGTCTATTGGCACCTCTGTAAGCGGCAGTTGGGTGACTACCACAGAGGTGAGCCAGAGCTGGGGGAGGCAACTGCAGGTCAAGGATAGTCATAACTGACACGCCTTGCAAAATGCATTGTGTATGTAAAGCTCTTTGCTAATAATGATGGTTCACTGTTCCATGTATACATAGGCTGATGTGTATATTTGTCTTTCCTGCAGGGTTTTTGGAGTCTCTGGATGACTTTTACATTCTTAGCAGTGGATTGATACTGCTGCAGACCACAAACAGTGTGTATAATAAAACCCTGCTAAAGCAGATAATACCCGAGTCTCTCCTGGCATGGCAAAGAGTCCGTGTGGCCAATATGATGGCAGATAGTGGCAAGAGGTGGGCAGACATCTTTTCAAAATACAACTCTGGTAAGTGACCCTGCAGAATAACTGTTAGGCACAGACATATATTTCGATTTGGGCTTGTTAACCAGTAAAGTCATACCTATGTCCCGTCTTCATGTCTGCTGATATTTCAGGCACCTATAACAATCAATACATGGTTCTGGACCTGAAGAAGGTAAAGCTGAACCACAGCCTTGACAAAGGCACTCTGTACATTGTGGAGCAAATTCCTACATATGTAGAATATTCCGAACAAACTGATGTTCTACGGAGAGGTACTTTCTTCATGTCCTAAGTCTGAAAACCTGACGAGTATGTGTGAGTTCATATATGGTAGGGGAATGCACGATGTGTGAATGTGTGGTGGGGGAGGGCATGGGGTGGGGAAGACAGGATGGGGATGCCACTGCTAGTTACACTGGGGGAGAATGACCAGGTTTAGCACAACAGGTAAACTTACGTCGCAGACTCTTGCAGGACAATGTGCAGATTGGGACGCAAATCAGGCATTCATGGCCCTGTGATTCCTCATGGTTCTAATATTACCTTTTCTCCTGTATTCCTGGCTAAAGCTTTAAGTTCAATTCAGCAAATATTTATGGAGTGCCACTGTGACCCAGGGACCAGAAAAGCAAGGATGCAGAGTCCCTGACCTCCAAGGACTCAGGAGTCTAGTAGGGAAGCAAAGTGCTCAAAGCAGCTGCAGGAGCTCAGGATGGGAAGAGCTGTCATCAGGTCTGGTGTCCCTAGGCCGGTGGTGAACCTAAAGAGAATGTGGCTGTTAGTGGGTGGGGTCAGAGAAGGCACTTCTGGTGGGCAAGAAGGAGTCCAGTCATTTGAAGCCAGGAGGCTCACTGCCTTCATTCAAATCTCAGTTCCTTAAAATCTCAGGCAAATCATTGAATCTCTCCAAGCCTCACTTTCCTCATCTATAAAACTGAATCGTGATATAGGTCCACAACCAGGTATTTGTAATTTTAAAATTCTAAAACTGTAAAACCACAAATTATTATTTTGTTTCTTGTGTTTTGTTTTGATTTGGTAGCTAGCTCACTTGGTAGCAAGATATGACCTGATCTGAACTCATTTGGCAGCAAAACTGCCAGAAGGAAACT